TAAGGCGATAGAAGTTACACAATTTTGGTTGGACATTTCCACCATCACATTCAACAACACATTGTACAGGATCACAAAACTCCGCCACAGCCTTCTGGATGAGCGCCATCGAGAGATTCTGCCGCGCGAAAGTAATTCGGTGCCCTTCGGCAAGTCGTTGGTTTTTCCACCACACATCACCCAATGAGCTCCTCCCAAAAACAGTAATCGAGGGGGTTTAAGGCAGGTGATACACTTGGATATTTCGTCTTCTTCACTTACTCAACGCCCACTTTCATTCCAAGACAGCCGAGGCTTTTCTCCTTCAATTCCATGTGGTGACACCCAATCCTGTAGCACTACAAACTTTCCAAAATGGTGCAGGCGATGGCGAGAAGGCAGGATGTTCTCCGGTCGATATGCATAGGGCCAACGAAGAAAATGTCGGTTTCCCATTCCAGGAGCTTCCGGTTCATACCATCAACCCGCGCCTTGGCGACTGCGGTGAAGATGATATCCTGGACCGTAGCGACGTTGTCGGAGCTGCTCGATGTTGGAGGTCTTCCAGATCAAGAGTGCTGGTCCCCAGGTGTCCATGGGTGACTCCATACAAGAAGTTTCGCAGCTGTTTGGAGGTGACGTGAATTCCATTCCTTCTCCAGTCAGGCTGCGATTGGGGGGATAGCTTCATATTTTGGTGTACATGAAGGTGATGGACGAGAGGCTGCTTCTAGGTAGACGAGCTAGTGGAATGTTGAGTATCATTCGCCCTGGTAGTCATATCCACTTTCCCTCTGGGCTGCGTAAACGTTGCTGATATGTGACCCGGCCAAAGTGTCTTTTTTATAGCCCCTCCCCCTCCCCTCTATAGTATGTAACATTGCGGGGGCAGCGATCGCAGCACGAGCACACGTCCGGCCCCTTGCTGTACCAATGGTGATCGAGCAGTTATCGAGTCGGTCAGATCGATGTAGGAAGGAATCATGGTGGGAAGGCCGCAGGTGGGAATCAGTGATTGCGACCCGACAGTCCTCAGTGATATAAATTGTGCAATATGATGAAATGGGTGGGAACCAGTGATTGCGACCCGACAGTCCTCAGTGATATAAATTGTGCAATATGATGAAATGGTCTACTGCCTAAATGGGCTATGGGCTACTCTGAGAACTATTTTTGTATTAGAAACATCTTGCTCCATATATGAAGCTCTAGAGATGTACCGCACGCGTGACGGCACCCCACCACTCCTCCCCTCTCAGCTTGCCACGTGAAGCTCGAGACGTTAGGTTCCTTACTAACTCTAATGGGTTTTAGGTATGATAGCGCTATTTTCCGAGGACTTTTCACATCTTATTCGCAATATTTGGGAACATTTGGTGTTTCACAAGCGTGTACTACTATTCTTCTGCTTCTTGTCCCTAGAATTAGTCTCGCACCGTCGCACGGCCCACTGCTATTGTTATATTACAAGTTTCGATATACGAACCACTGCATCTTCTGCCGTGGCATTCATTTCATTAAGGTCCTTCTTGATGACGTCGTTCTATCTTTTACACGCAGTTCCTGGAGTGTAGATCCTAGCATCAGGTGCAAAACACTTATTTGAGACATCATAATATTATAGAATGGATTAAAGAAGTGATAGCACCCATTTCAAAGAAGTAATAGTACCCAATCTGGTAGTGGCATGCAATGTAATGAGATAGGAGCACTTGCCTTTCTGTGAAACAGCACAAACACCACAAACATCACATCGCCGGAGTGGTTGTCCAGGCCTGAGGCGTGTCAGTATCGTATTTGTCTTGTTTGCGGAATATTATGCAGAAGATTTGTCGTGACACTAAATCTTACGTCCTCCTTAGTTTGCGACAAATCCCACCGTAATGAGTTAGTTCTCCTGAGCAGCCGCATCCTTGTGAAATGTCTGACTGGGCTGCTCGATTGCCTACTTCTGTAACGTGATTCCACTCCCAATGGCACCAACAACCTTCAACTGACTGCACCAATACTTGATCGTCTGAAGGAACAGCTCATTCACGGATCACACGTATATGATAAGGCATAGGCAAACCTCGGTCATAGCGTTTACACGGGAAGAAACGCTGGCTTGAAAAACTAGAGATGTCATTTTGTATACCAGATGAAAGCCTGACGGTGGACTTTCAGAGCATCTATCCACAGCTTTTTTGGCCTAAGCTTCCAGTGTGCAGTCGTATACCTAGAAAGAGTAGCCGTATACTCGCCACACATTCAGCAGTCAGCAGAGCTGAGCATGGGTCCCAAGGAACTTTAGGGTATGAAATGCTACATGAACAGCAACAAAGATGGAGACTTCCCAATGTGAGTTGCGAACAGTGAAATTAGCTGGAAACAAATGTTGGCCCAAAGATAGCGCTGACCGCCAAATGGCACGGGTCTTTCAAGACGGTAGAAAATCTACGGCCACAGAAGCTTTAGTATATTGTTGGAGTGTCGCTTGGTTTCCCACTTCTTTAGGTAGTGGATTCAGCCCCGCCTCCCACTTCTCTACCCAGGATATTAGATCAATTTCTCTTCGTTATTAACATCTCGGAAACAGTGAGTCGCTACGGCTAATGCTCATTTTCATCCACTTTTTATCGCCTGTCGGTACCAAACGGTGCGAAAAAATTGAACAAGTGCAAATCAGCGAGGATTCGCACAAAAGTGTCGCAGTTCTACAAAAATGTTTCTCTTGATTTCAATCATAATAAGATTGATTCTTATTTTCCAGTGTTCACAAAGGATTGCCTCGCCTCACAACCGAGCAAGTCTTCCACAGTTTCGA